TAGAAAACAAGATTTAGGATGTCATCATTTCAAAGGTTAATTCAAGGTTTTTTATTTTAGTCTGAACAACACTAAGAGATGAGTGAAAACCTGAACTTGTGGATGTGCAGGAATGGTACTTTGAGTCTAATTATTGCAGAGAAGCTTGGCTAGCATACCATATTAGTGTTTTAACAAATTTTCTCTTGCTCTGTCCTACTTTTGGTTTTAATTAAATTGCTGCATTAGGTACATTAGAAGCTTCCCTGAAAACACTTTTCACACAGATTCATCCATATTTCTCAGTCATCGATTTTCCCTTGACATGCATGACTGCTGTAGAATTGTCAGTCTTCTTGGAGTAAGATTGCCTACAGCAAGAAGTTAGCAAGCTTCAGTGAGCAGGCGTGAGAAAGGGAGCAGTTGATGTATTATCTTATTAAGGATATCTTGCACTTTTCTTTGCCTCATGGTTTTTGATGGCAGCTGAACAACTTTTACACATGGCTCAAGCTTTATAGCAGGAACATTCTTAGTTGATGTCAGCATCCTGTTTCATTGTCCTTCAGTGTGATGTCTAATTATTATTATATCAGTCAATGTTACAGCTGTTGAGGGGTCTTGGCCTCCATTTATCTTTGCTGAAATGTTCCCTTTGCCACCCTGTTTCCTGGCATAAAGGTCTAGGTTCTCAGATGCAGCTGAGCAGTACACAGCATTGCTAAGCAAAGTGTTCATGATGGTGCCCTGGGAACTTTTTCCAGCTCAGATCTCAAATAGAAACAGTTCCTGACAGTAAACCTTATCAGGTCGCACCGGCACATAGATGCCATTTTGACATCTAAGAATCCTCAGAATTTTGGGAAGCTCTTGTCAGGTCTTTTCTCCCTCCCACTTGAACTGGTGGCCAAGAGGAGCACAGTAAAAAAGCCATTGTATCGATTCTAAGCCACATGACAGTTCTCCTCTGTGAAACTATATACGCTCACTTCAAGGTTGCTTTGTCTTTCTATAGTACCAAGAGAACAGGGCAGGATAGTGAAGGGATAAGATAAATATTTCAGTCTGGTCAAGTCCAAATAACATGCAGATTTGACCCCAGAAATTATGAATAATAAGTCATTTCATAATGCCATGATAAAATATAGTCTTAGGCATAAGGCATTGAAAGTAATTTGATGGTAACTATTTTATTAGTAACTATAACAAGAGCAGTATTGTCATGGATCAGCCCCTTTCAAAGCAGTAATGTCTGAGGACTCCCAAAAAAGTCTTGTCCAGGTTCTATCCTGAAGGTCCCCCAGTGGCATGGCTTCTGGAGTTGCAAACCTTTGGCTTCAAGACCCTGGCTCTTCTTTTTTGTGTATGACTTCTTTCCCTGGCTATGTAGCCACCTCAGAAAGCTCCTTCTTTGCTCATCTGCCTCTTAAATAAATAAATAAAGCACTGAGGTCCCAAACAGTAGGTCAGATACTTCTGCTTCAAACAAAGAGCTTTTATTGTGCTATTTCAGTACCCCCTGTCCTCCCTAGGACTCCTGCTTCCTCTCTTTCCAGGTTCCTCAGCACTTCCGTGCTTTTACTCAAGCTCAGTGTGCTACAGTGCCAAAGTATAACAAAACTATAGTAGGTAACCTAGAAACCAACTGCCCCAATAAAATTAAATATAGTGTTATCAGGAAGCAATCTAAGAGATGTTTCTAGGGCTTGCTGCTAGGCTCAGGCTGTTATCTTCCCCTTTTCTGGATATTCTTCTACAATGAAACTATGTCCAGTAAAAGGTGCCCACTAAGCCCTCCAAAGCATTCCCAACAAGAATTCCAGTCTACTTTGGACACAAACATAATCTGTAAAAAATAAGTATTATATTTTAGGACACTATTACAAATTGCGTGCACATGTGTAATGTATACAGCACTTTTATCAAGTTGTCTACTGGAATCACTGGGCTTGATTTCCCATTTATGTTAGTGTAAATCAAGAATAAGTCACAAAAGACAATATCATGACAGAAGGATAAGGCCTATTAAAGCCAGATCTCAATTTCAAGCTTGTGGATCTTGTCTAAGTGACAAGGTTAGCTGCACCTCCGTCTCCGAGTGCATCATCATCTCTCGGGCTTTGTACCTTTATTTCTTATTCCACTCTTGGAAGTATACACTTGGATGTACATACTACCCTGTGTATTAACCATTCCTACGCAGGAGTTTGACTAAATTTGGATACCTACATCTCTCCCTTTTGAGAGTCTGTGATGAATGGCATTCAGTAGCAAATCATCATTCTTAAAATCAAAAGCTGTTTATAGACATTAAAGAAAAAAACAAAGTTGGTCCTCAGCATGTATAGATAGGGCGCTTCAGCAGGGCTTTTGGTGCTTCTATCTAAATCTGATTCACTCAGCCTTGTCACTGAAAGCAGTCTATAGCTGTGGCCAAACACAAATGCACGGCTGCAGATAGCTTAAAAAATGTCCGATTGGGTGGAAATCTGATCCCTCATTGCATGAGGGATCAGATAAAGATATTTAAAAATGTAGCATCTTCTGTAACTTGCATCTGCAGAGCTCCCAGCCTGTTGCTGTTTTCAGAATGGGAGGGGGAAAGGCAACAGTGGGAGTTCAGTCTGGGTATTTTTAGCCCTCCCTGGAAAGCGGGACAGGTGTATTGGAGCCCTCCCCTGATGTGGGGGGAGGCTCCAATTCACCAATCCCACCTTTCAGCACTGGCTGGGGAGCCCCAAGGATGAGCTTCCTCTGCCGCCTTTCTCCTTCCCATTCTGAAAACAGGGAGCACTGGCAGAGAGCCTGACTGTTGCTGTGGAAACCTGGCTGCAGGCTCCTAACCAGCACTAAATTCCTCTTCCCCCTCTAACAATGAACTTCTTTTTGGTCTGGGATAATCTTGTAACTCAGAACGCTTTGCAGAAATTGTTCTGAGTTACAGTTGGGAGCTGCATTTCTGTCTGCACACTTCTGTCTGCACCCTGAATGATCAGAAACTGGCTCAACTCTGTAACACAACAGATGTTCAGTGTACATAAACTGCTTTCAAAATGGCCAAACTAGTTTAAAATAAACCTGGATGGATGTAGTATCAGACTTAACTGGTTTAGATTAAATCAGTTTATTGAATTTCTGTCCCAGATCCTCTCCAGATTCAAGTTAACTCATAGTCCTCCGGCATCCCAGGATACTTTGCACCTCCCCACAAACCACTTCCTCACAGGGTGGGCAGGCTAGCCTTGGCCTTAGCTGTCTGCTCCAGCTGAGAAGGGAGGCAAGCTCTAGCGCACCCCAGCTTCTGTCCTGGGCCACTGCAGGCATGTGGCTACACTTCCAGAATCAAAAGTGAATGTCTGTTCACTTGCTTATCCGTTCAATCTACCCAATTTGGACTAATCTGGGAAGACTGAATTGATTCAGCCTTGGACTTTTTTGACTCTCTGCCTATAGGTTTGCTGGGATAGAAGTAAAATTTTCAAAGACAATAATTTGGTCGTTGTTCCTGCAAAGAAGTGGCTGTTCTTGAGTCATTCTTCCCCTCCACCCCCCACCCGCTTGGAAAAGACCCCTTCTGAACAAAAACAACATAGTCATAACATAGCAGGTTTAGTAACAGTGATTCAACAGCGAGGCCAGTTTATAGCATTCACAAATTATTATACAGTATCTCCTAATTCATCACAGTTTTCTTGTAATGATAGTATAAAGAAGCAGATTTTTCCTTAACAAAGATTTTATTATTCCTTCTCCACAGCATCTAGCTAACTAGAACCTTCCCCAATCACTTTCTACTCATTTTTAAAGAAACGCTACAAATATCCATAGAGAAGCATGATATTTTTCATATGATAGAAATGTTTTTACACAAATTGAACTCAGCCCTTGTTACTGCCCTCAAGTGCATGGCAGAAGGATTAAATAACGAAACATGCAGAATCTTGTAACATTTTGGTTTCTTTGGAGTTTATTTTGAGGTGCAGAATAAAGTAAAAGAAAATAGAGGATGTGCTGATGAAATGAGAAAAAACAATCAAAGGTTCAGCTATTCAAACAAACAAAGACAAGCGACTTGCAAAATCACTTGCTTAGAGAAAAGGGTCACCAGAGAGAAGATCCTTCAAGGATGATTGCAGCAGAAATAAAAGAAGCAAGATAACTGAAAAAATATGAGAGGCCCTGAAGATAAAGTAACTATCTCATTGATTTTGGTTTTACCTAAAACTTTAAAGTGTTTTTTTCAAAGTCAGCAGACTTTGCTCTTACAGCTCTTAATGTTTTCCAATTAAAAAACAAAACAAAACTACTTTTAATACAGATATATCAATGTACAGAAAAGTAAAATAGGTTTTGCATTTAGAGTATCATAACTGCAACTCCATTTCAAAATATTTTTTAAAAACTATACTTAATTTTAAAAGGCTAATGTACAGCTTTTACAAAACAAATACCACGTGGCGTTGGTCTCCTTCTTCTCAGTGCAGTCAGGGTTATCAGGTAAAACTTCACACATCATGTGCTACTGTTGACAAAAGAGATATCAGATGACAATGGCAAATATGAGTCAGAAGGTTGCCAGAACATCAAAAAGTGCTGATCACATGGATCAGCTAAGCTTGAGTGGTTTGGGGGTCAATGGAACTCAGAAGTGCTTGCTTATTTGGGCCTCGGAGCAAAAATATATTTTTTAAAAAAGGTTACTAATACATAATAAGTATACACACCCTCAGCATTGCCAAACCCAAGAGTTCAAAAATCACAAGTCAGGTATTTCAGAATCATGGTATTTATTATTATTAATAGTAGTAGTAATAAATTTTGCATTCGTTTTTAGCCTGATAGTTCCTGATTCCGTAGAGCACGCATAGCCAGACACTGGGCTTTAAGTTAACCACCAAATATCAGGAGATGTGATAAAATGGCCAGAGCTGCTAACCATACTCTAAGAGCTCTAAGCTATTATGTTGCATTTCTTAAAGAAAATATCTATCTGCACTCTAAAGAGTTTGTATAGTACCTACCTAACACAATGGCATTTTGGTCCATGTTAGCAGCCGGAGGTACCACCACAAAAATAGTAAATAATAGTAGTGAGTAATCAAAGATGTGGTGAAGTGTGAGCTTGTCAGTTGAGGTCAGTGACCTTGAGAATGGGCAAGTCCTTTCAATCCTAAATTGCATTATATTTTGTGATATGAAAATATTTCAGCCCAAATGCAATGGCTTGATCCA